ATTTTTTGTTTTGATATTTGCAATATGCAAAATATTTGTATAAAATTTGAAAACATTTTCTTTTTAAAATTTCACTAAATACAGTTTCTTGTTAAAAAATTTTCTAGATAACTTTTAGAACTCGAAGAATAGTCAAAAATAATTTACAACTTAAAGTTACTAATAATGTATTACAAAAGAATTCCACCATTGATGGTTACCCAAGAGAGCTCAGCAGCCAAGACTCCAGGCTGCTCTTTAATTTGCACGAGAGCTCCACAGCCCTCTGCTCCACTATTAGGCTTCCTATAACATTTTGTTTGAATAAAAATAAAAAATAAAACAAAAGGTGTTCTACTAAGAAAATGTTTTCAAAACACCAGAGTAAATATTTTCTAGCCTCTTCCTACTCTAGGATGAGTCTAGATTTCCAAGTCTTCCCGAAGTAGGTTTTCCCTGGCCTTTCGGCTCTTTCATGTGAAAAGATACTCTCCAGCACCAGAATATTCTCAAGTCTCCATCATTTAAATCCCAAAATGATTTTTTGTTGTTGTTCTTCTTCTTAAATGTGCTTGTTTGCTTGCTTATTTATTTTCATGCTGTTTACTTCTGTGCTCAGACATGCCCCTTCTTTCTGGATTGAGAGAGAGAGATTGAGAGAGATTGAGAGAGAGAGAGAGAGAGAGAGAGAGACAGAGACAGAGACAGAGACAGAGACAGAGACAGAGAAAGGTGAGTGCTCAAGTCAAGCCAAACATTTGCACTACTTCAAGCCAATATCATTTAAATATTTGTTCAATATTTATTTAGAGAAAAGGCTAAGAACTATGTGGGAGAACAGCTTGAAGGATCTACCTGCTGAGCAATGTCACCTTCTGCTGCTTAGTAGATTCAGTCCTGACCGCAAACTTGCAGACTTTTCTTCACAGGAAGACAAAAGCCCTGCAGTTAATAGGGCATGTCCTCTTAAAAGGCAGTTTGAGCATGCTCTCAGGCATTTCACCCTCACCCCAACAGCTTATCAAGTTTTCTCTGTCCACTGAGGGAGGGTCCTTCTGTCTTAAAGGGTCAGAAAAATGCAATTTCCCCCCATCTTCGTATATATGTAGAGTTAAAATCTAGCTGTGCTTACTGATGCTTGTTGCTTTCTATTTCAGGCATAAGCTTGAGACAGCCTACCTACCTGCACTCATCCCTTCTCCCAACTTGTATATACTGTGTGCTATTTGAGGGGATGTGTGTAGTAGAGGTGGGGAAAAAACATGCAGTTCTGTTACCTACGCTTTCATCCCAGACCCAATTCCTGCCATGACGAGTGATTTGCAAAAGATTGCATATTCCTGGGAAGACATGAAGAGGGACATAAAGTGAAAGCAAGTACATGTGTTCCTAAACTCTGTTCACTTTATACTCACCCCAGAGAATTTTGTTACCTGGATTTCTTCCAGAAATTTCTGACACTTTTATTTCTGCTCGTCCATCAAGAGCACACCAGGTGCTACTGATTGAAGGCTTAAAGCTTTGCATTTGCTATGAGATAATGTAATGCCAACCCACAGATTTTTTCTAAGTGATGAAGGATTTGCTCTCTGCTGACCTGAGTGACCTCTGCCAGCATCTCCCTCTGGAATGGTTGATAAATCGTTCATAGCCAAGATCTCATTTCTTCTCTTCCTTCTTAGATTTCAACTGGGTTTGGCATCTTCCCCTGGGTTTATAGTAACAGCAAAATAAAACTCCAAAATGGTGTTTGGCTCATTATACAAGGGTCAGTTGGCCAAGTCTTGTCATTCTAAGGTGAGTAGCAATCATGATGGTAATAGTGCTGATTCTGAGTATGTTAAGTGCCATCAGCAAATTTGGGGCTTCACTCTTTTTTTCCAGTGGAAAGATGGGAAAGTGACTGTCTTTGTCTGTGTTAAGTAAATTTCAAACCCTTCTGCCCAAGCTGAGTTTACAGTATGTTTGAATTTTAGTGTATTGTTTCATTCCCAGTGAAACTAGTCAGCTTTGTTTATTACCAACTTCCATTTTTAGCTGAAATGTGATTCTTCTGAGCTTTATAGCTTCATTACATGATATCCTATCACACGCAAAGCTGTGAAGTAGGGTGAGATCATGTAGGTTAAAGGGTCATTCTAAGGTAAGAAATTATTTGTATTTATATCAAGTTTATATCAGACTAATTTTTTTTAAACATTTCAGAAAACACTCCATCTTGCACATTTGAGAGAAATGGATACAGAAGCATTGTGTGTTTGTATGTGTGTGTGTCTCTGTGTGTGTGTTTTCTAATGATAAAATAAATTTAAGTACAAGATTTTCAAGATATAGCTTTTCTGAAGAAAAAGTAGAATCAAATCCATAAAATGTTGTTTAGTTTTATTTCATAGATACAAAAGTTTCAGTTCATATGTGCAATTCATTGATATCCCTCTCTTATTCTGAAATTTTAAATTTTGGGACTAGTCATTTGGTAGATTGTAGTCATGTCCATTAAAAGTACAATTTCTTTTTCATATTTAATGGCACTTGTGTGGTCTTCTTTTAAATATATGTTTTAAAAGTTTTTTTGTTTCAAGAGTTTGTGAGCTCACATTGTACATATTGCTAGAAAACCAAATGGAAAATTTCCGAAGCAAATGGGCCTTCTGTTTATAAGAGGAGAGAATCAGAGTCAATAAACAAATCTCCAGCTCCTAATGAATCACGCTAAGGGTTGCAACGGAAATCAAGGTGGGAGATTGAATTAAGAGGCTCAGTCATATGATATAATTATGCAGCCATGCAATGTAAACCAGGGGTAGAGGGCTTGCTAAAGAATGGCCTGAACTATACATCATGAAAGACTTCAGCTTGTCCAAATTTTTCCTCTCCTGATTTTTGTCATCAATTTGTTCTGTTGGCTAACACTTCTTTTCATAACGTTTATAGCTTGTTTTTAGAGATATAAGGCTCAGATGTACAAACACCAGCTGGGGCAATGGATTTCTGGAGAATATCCAGGTTGATTTGGCCCACCAATTATGAAATTGCCACATTAATACAGCTATGATACTAAAATATACACTCTTCCTTTACAAAATTGCCACATTAATACAGGTATGATACTGAAATATACTTTCCCCCACTCTCTTTCATTCATTTACTCATTGGTTCAACAAATATTTATTGATATTCCAGTGAACCAGGTGCCAGCAGTCATGTGTCAAATAGAGAGGGTGTACGAACTGTTCATCATCTCTAAGATAAGATATGTAAAATCTCTACCATCTCTCAGAGTCTGTTATCTAAAAATATGCCCAAAATATTTGGCTGGAGCTTTGAGTAAATTCATGTCCCCCACCATTTTGCAGTCACATTTGAGGAAGAATAAATTCCCCTCCTCAGTCTTTATGATCAAAGATTCTAGTGACCCGGGACTTAGATTTTAAGGCATAACCATTTTACCAGGCAGAATACTTATGACTATAAGTAATAGAAAATGCTCTTGAATGACAAAGGTATATATTTACTCATAGGCAGGAAATGTCCAGAGATAAATTTGGCTTCAGTCATGGGTTGATCAGGACCCCTAGCAGTATTTCTTTTCATGTTTCTCTATAGATCAGCTTTGCCCTCAGGCAAATCGGCTTCCAGTTGTGGAGAAAAAATGGCTGCCAGTAGCAACTCAAGATCAGCTTTCTAGTTGAAATTTCAGAAGACAGAGAGGAGCAGCCTTAGTTTTTGAGCCAGTTCTCTGGCCAATGGAATAATGAGCAATAGCAATTGGCTTACACTTGTATCATATACACATTATTAAACCAGTGACCATAGCCAGAGGGTAGCTTCAATCCACCCAATGTGCAAAATGGCTACTACATAATGGGAGAAGAGTAAAAAGAAAAGTAAAAATTCTGTTGGAGGAAGGGGAAAGGTAGAAGTATCTTTCCTACAGATATGTTGTTAAAGTAAATAAGGCTTTTAGAAATATGTATTGTATTATCACAGTTGAAAGTTTAGTTATAATTTAGCTAGAAACTTGTTCTAAGTGAAAAAACAGAGACTCAGAGACATAAACTGACTCACTCAAGTTTCCCCATACAGTAGGTGGTAGAGCAACAGCTCAAATGCTATTTTCTCAATTCCTATGCTAAGGCTCCTTGGCAACTGGGGCCCAGGCTCAACTTGGCCCTGCTGCCTCTGACTACTCCACTTGAACAGCTATGAAACCAAGTAGTCTACCTGGGCAACTTGCTGCCTCTCCTCCTCCTCTCTCCCCCAAATTGCAGTTCTATTAAGAAGGAAGAAAGGATTACTTACTGTTGTGAAGCAAACAGCAACCTCTGCTCCAATCAAACATGTTCCCATTGGTATAAAATAGATGTATTTATCATGTTATATATCTTTTTATATATCCTTTCCTTACTTTGCTGAGAATCATTTTTGTGAAGAGGAATGGATGTTAAAATTTATTAAATACCTTGTCTGTCATTCTGCTTGATTTCATAAGAATCCACACTCTAACTTTTCTTGTATTCTTGTCTCACTCATAGGTTAATATCATTCATCTAAAACTGAGAGGCAGGATGAGGCAGATCTTTAATGGAGACTATGGGGTGAAGACTTGAATTGGAGTATGAAGTACATAAGATGATAGGTGGACCAAGAAGCTAAAATTACTTTGAGAAAGTAGATTTATGATCGATTTCAAAGTGTTCTGTAGTACCATTAAATCTTAATAAGTAAGGACTAGAAAGGTGAAGTTTTGCTAGCTTTAAAGCATTCAGTTAAATTAAGTATTCATTTTTAAAAATGGTTCCCTTCAGAGCCAACTGAGTTCTTTTGATAAACACAAAATCCTGGGCTAAAGCCATAGCCTGCTGAATCAAAATCTCAAGAGGAAGAGTTCAAGATATTCATTTTTACAAAGGTCACCATATGATAATACATAAGATGTATAATCAATCATTCAGTTTTATTTAGTCTTTTTTATATTGGATATCTTTAAACCTGGTTCAGATAATTTGTTGTATATAGGATGAGGAAGAGTTCTTAATTTATTTTCATAAATAGATGTGCATTCACATATAAATTCCTGCTTATTATGTTTTGAGAGGTAAAGCTTGAAAGAAAAACATTAACAAAGGTCTCACATACAACTCTCTGTAACATGTAAATGTTAATGTGCATGATGCTTTTATACCTCCAAAAATAAGAACTACCTGGTTGAGGTTAAGATTTGTTAAAATTCATTCTTTATAAAGGTAATGCTAAGGGAGGATTTTGATTAAGATAAGATAGTTCTGGGGGTTACTGTGAAATAGATAAACATCTAAGATATGTGTGGTCAGTTGATTTTCATCTCCTTCGTAGGGAGATTCTTCTCTGTGTACCTCTGAGATTTTGCCTTGACCTATAAAGTTCTAAAACTTTCCCTGTCGTGGAAAGATTGGAGAATTAGCTGTCATTCTTTCCCCCATTCTTCATTAACTCTTCCTGTGGAAGAGAAGTCACCTATCTGATTAGCGAAAGAGAATATACCTCAATTGTTTTATACATTTATCTTGTGAATTATATAAATGAATCTGGCACCTGCTTGAGAAGTCCATCTGAGCTAGAGCTCAGGAAAGCTAGCCTGGATCTCTTTTGCTCTCTTTCTCTTCATCTTTTCCTTCTCCCTTCTGTCCCTTTTGTTTCTCTACTGTTTGCAACAAAGCACAAGGCGAACTTTGAACATCAACATATCTGGCTGTGGAAAATGTCTACTCTATAGAACTAATGTTACTCATGGGCTTATCTCAAGGTGTAGAGTAAGAGTAAATTGGAGGAAAGTATTAGAAATTCCAATTTTAGCCTAGGGTCCAAGCCACATTCAGCAATCCAGCTCCAATGAGGGGGAAAATGAATAAAGAATAATTAAATAATCAACATTTGAAGACTATTTTGGTTTCATTTATTTTTAACTTGTATTTTGAATATTTCAAACATACACAAAAGTAGAAGGGATAGTATAATGTACCCATATTAACCATCACCTAGCTTCAATAAACATTAATATACTGCCAAATTTGTTTCATCTATACCTTTCCAAATTCTACCAATCTCTAGTTTTTTTATAACTTTGTAAGGCATTAATTTACATACTATATTATTTACCCATTATAAATATACAATACAATGATTTTAAATAAATTTATAGAACTGTGCTACCATTTCCACAAATATTTCTATTATTCCAACAATTTTCCTCATGGTCATTTACAGGCAATCTCCACCCTTTGGCTCAGGCAACCACTGATCTCCTTTCTGTGTTTATAGATTTTGTCTTTTCTAGACATTTCATATAAATGGAGTCATATATTTCATTTACTTAGCATGCTATTTTATATGGTCATTCATGTTATATCAAGTATCAGTGGTTTGTTCATTTTTATTACTAATAGTATTCCATTGTATGGATATGCCATGTTTTATTTATTCATTCGTCAACTGATAGACATATAAAATTTCCCAGTTTGTGGCTGTTATGTATAATAATGTTATAAACATTCACATATAAGTCTTTTTGTGGGCAAATGTTTTCATTTCTTTTGGGTAGATACCCAGCAATAAAATTGATGGATTGAATGGTAAGTTTTATGTTTAACTGTTTTGGAAAATAGTCAAATTGCATTAGATAACTTAGAAAAACTAAATAAATTTTTATAAACATGTAACCTACCAAGACTGAATCATTAAGAAATAAAAATATGAAGAGAACTGTTAATAGTGAGGATATGAAATTAGAAATCAAAAACACTGCCCAAAAAACAAAA